TGACCCTATTTTCTAAGAAAAAAAAATGAATCTCCTTGAACTTGAATGATATGAAAAATAATATTTTCAGATCTCTGCAGACCTTGAATTCACTTATCCGGCTCAAATCCCTTGAATTCTATGTAACCTATTCCCTGTTTCCCTAATTATATCCAAGGATTGTATATAATTATTTAGAGGTTAATTGTATATATTGACTGTATCCTTAACCCATTTGCATACCTAACCATCTCCAAGATGGCCTCAATAGAAGTGTCCAGCTTGTACCTATCTATCTGCCAGGTGGGTTCATGCTGAGGTCTGTTATTATTGATAGATTGGCTTGTTAGTCAATGATATGGTTGTTAGATGGCATGATATGCCTTCTTTCAGGTTCTACTAATAATTTGTTTTTGCAAATTAAATGGTATTTCACAGCAACACAGTTTCACAGTTAAGAAAAAAATGGTATGCAAATAGGTTAATATTCAGTTTTCAGGAGATGCCTATTCCTGGTTGCATTCCTTTTGTATTCTATGAGGGTCACTTGGAAAATAATGCACAGTTATTTTTTTCTCACTGTATTGAAGATAATTACATGAAATTAACAAGTAATGTTCATCAGGGCTTTGCAATGAACCACCTATTATTTGATGTAGTCACCATAATGGACAATGTACTTTTCCCACCATTTTACAAGGGCATGAATTCAATCCCAAGAGAATCTCTTGCCCTGGCAACAAAACCACCTTCAAATTGCATTCTTCACATCCTCATCATTCTCAAAGTGATGTCCATTTTGGTTGTCATTTATGCATCCGAAGAGGTGGTTGTCAGACAGTGCCAAGTCTGGAACATCAATTGGCAAAAGCATTCAAGTGGCAATACGCCTCTCATTCACCCACTTTCTTGATGCTCTCGTGGTGGCAGTGATGGGTCGTCCCGAACACGCCTTGTCTTTAACATGTGTCTCTCCAGATGTGGAGTGACTCACCCATCGTCTGACAATGCTGTCATCAATGCAGGCATCACCATAAAAAACTCTGAGGTGGCAGTGGATATCTGCAGGCTTTACACTCTCCCAACAAAGAAATTCAATTACTGATCTCTGCTTCTCACGTGCCTGCAGTGGGGCAGCCATTTTCAACTAGTCCCCTGCTATTGTGCCCCAGCAGATATTTCTCAAACTTGCTCATTTTTGATGGGAAAGTTCATCAATTATACAGAAAATCTTATATCAGACCTGACATACATACATTTAGTTTAAAAAATGATTGTGCATTACTTTCCTTGCAACCCTCATATATAGTCTGGAATGAAAGACATATATCATTAGTGAGACCTCGTATAGGTAATAGAGAGCTTGAGTTACAATTTTTTAAATTCTAATCTCTGCTGAAGAAAAGAAAAAGAGAAAGACAATTTTTTGGAGAGCTAAAAAGTCAGAATACTATAGCAGAAATTGTAAATTATAAATTAAAGTTTCAGTTTGGGCATAAACTGTAAATTTAAACTAAATTTAGGAGATCTTGCCTTGCTAGCTTTGATGGGGGCACTAATCTTATCACTCCAATTGATCTTTGAGTTGCAGAAATCCAATCACTTCTTTCTTATTGTTATTGAGACTCTTGCTTGAGGAAAGCTATGGTAATGTATTTTTATGGAATCCAGAAGGTGAACTTGAGTTATTTCATGTTCACTGCAGGTTAAGTGTATATGTGAACTCCTGTGGTAGGGATGGCAAAATCCTTGACTTGAAAAAATGCATGTATAGGTTTATTAACTATAAATATTATTCTTTGCACAAGTGACTTTCTTCTGCATGTTTTTCTTCCCATACCTCTTCCCTTTTGTTCTATGAGATTCATCCTATGTTTATGCTTACCATTGAAGATGAAGAGTATGATTAAGAAATATTGCCAATAAAGCCAAAAACAATGCACCAGTTGCAGCCTCCATCCTATTTTTTGACAAGTACTTATCTTCTGATGGTAGGAAGGGCCTAGCTTTTCAGTAGAGGCTGGTGTTAATTAAGTTTGATGGTTTCCAGTTTGATTTAGGCTTGAGGATTCATTGTTAAGTGGATGGATTCATGGGTTTCTTTATAGTTGGGCCATATGTAGGCTATCACATGATGGACTAGAGGGAAAGTTTTAAATATTTATATTTATCTATTTTATCTGTCAATTTGATTAATTGAATAAAATAAAATTATATTATAAAATTATAAGGGGAAAAAATAGGCATACAAGGGGCGATTAGAAGGTCGATTAAAATTAATTTCAAATTAATTTAGACCAAAATTTTAAATTGCTATTAATACTTTAATCAATTAATCGGTCAATCAAATTAATCGAATTGACAGCCCTAATTTTATCATTTTAAAGTGTGACACATTGGTAGAGTATGCTAAGTTAAGAGAAATGTTTAAACTAAATTTGACTCATGTTCACCTCCACCCACATGTTGGAATGTGAAAAACCTATCACTTAGAGAAGATTAGAGTTTGATCCTGTCTAATGCAAGAGCTTCCTATGTTCATTGTTCAGGTTCACAATGGTTTATGTTTTCTAGGCTTACTTTGAGTTTGAGCCTCTCTACTAGTCCAGTCTGCAATATCCCACATGAAAATTCCATCTGACAGTGTGTATGGTAGTAAATGGTCATATATGATAATTTATTTATCATTTACCACCACATATGTATTCATATATTATTAATTGTATGGCATATAATATATATTATCTGTGTTACAATATCTAGAGTTATGGGCTGATGGCATCATGTCTGACATTTGGTGAATATTCACAGGTAAGTTTATCGATTGTTATTTAGTTAGTTAATTGTTAGTAAACATAGCACCAGGTCAGTGGTGTATTTTGGCTGAAGAGCCAGGAGGCAGGGCAGCAGAGTGGGGGATCATCAAACTCCAGCTGAGTGTTATTAGAGGAGTAAAGTATTACCTCCAAGTGGGCACCAAGCTCTGTCCCAGGGCTGCCAGGGGGGGGTATGGAGGGTTGGAGGCTGCACACCCTTGTAAAATATGCTACTTCATGAAGTTGTTACACGAGGGCCTCCAGATGCCTCTGCAACTAATTTTTAGTTCACCCATTACATCGTACATGAAATATTAGCTATGTTTAACCTTTAAAGTAATTTTCCAAAATATATATTTCAAACTTGTACCCTCCCTATCCCTAAAACGTGGGGGGGGGGCCATGGGAACTCTGGGCTGCTGTTACCATGTATTTCATGATTCATTTCCTTCTTATTAATGCTTCTCTCTTTTTTTTTTTCTTCTGTAAAGTGGAGGCATGTACCCAGCCATGCCACTGCTAGGCAGTGAAAAACAGAGAAAATACTACTACCAGAGGGTATGCTTGATACCAAATATTACCATACCAGCATTGCCATTCTTGTCCTAACCATAGTGAATGGACAACTCCTTCAATTCATCTTTCATTGGATATTCCTTCTTTGGATTATTTCTCACAAGGAATAGTTATTGTTCCCATCTATTTTGTGAGTTATCTCTTCAAAGCAAAGAAGACATGAGTAAGTCAAGTTTTGTGATGAAATAGCATTACTACAGAAAGTTTTTGTGAAAATAAAAATGTATGATATTGAAACTTTCACCTTCAGTAACAAGTGTGCATATGTTTAACACCATGAAGCATGAGTTATTGGAGTAATTGACTTTGAAGAAATAAAAATGAGTTAATTGCAAGAAAAGTAAGCAAAGTATGGTGACAGGCATTTGAATGATTAGATACAGTATTTGATGCATTATGAACCCTTTTAGTATGTGGGTATGTTTCAGGCATTCTCACTAAACATAGACATGTTTAACTTCATTCATGGACAAGATTTGACATGGCATATATGGTGCAGTTGTATGGGCCAATATATGAAAATATATGGGGCAATATATTTTCATTCTTATTTGATTTCATTTGACTGGTGTCAAACCCCATATATTTTAAATATATTTTCTTATAGAAATTGTACCTTATGATCTTATATGTCACATATATGTTAGATTGGCTAAATATATTACTATTTCATATATGGCCTTATGAAATTTTCATGTGGGAATATAGTTATACTTTTTTTGTTTGATGCAGTATTACTCAAGTTCTCTACCCATATCCATGCCAATAAAATATGGGGTGTAATTATGATAACATAATTAAAAAATTGGTAAATGGTAAACTGTGCATTCTTAGCTGAAAACCAATGTAAGTATTTGAGTATATCAAGCCTATTACCTGAGACTGTCTAGGAGCACTTCTCTAAGAGATAGGTGGCTTTCATCCATTCTATTAACTGCTTCCCATTGCTCATATAATTTATTTTAAAAAATCTTTTTCTTTATATTTTTCCATATTCATCAATTTTTGAGCAAAATATTTTTTGCTTGATCTGGAATACTTGTCTGAGTAGGAAAGACGTCTGGTCATTATAACTGTAACCAGACATAAAAAGGTGTGTTTCAATTCTAGATGTGGAAACCCTTTATTTCGTATACTTTACAACTTCGATTGTCCTCGTTAAGAGGAAAGGTTTCTTATGTATTATATGTAGAATGAGGTTTAAAAAAATAATAGATGAACTGTTTTCCACTGAAGGATATTACAATAAATTGAAGCTTTTATTGTACAGATACAGAAGTCCATTTCCCAAGTAGTTATGTCATAGAAGAATGCTTGAAAATAACAAATTTACTTGCATCCATTAAATTGGAAAGTATATTTTAACATCAGCATAAAACTGAAACAAACTGCAGAAGGAAGACATGTCAGGGAGATGAAACTGCAACCTCTTTCTAAAATCTATGCCCCAATAAGTCATTGGTGAGCATAGTGTTGGTAAATTTAAGAAGGTTGGATGGCTGATAGGTAGATTTGAAAAAAGATAGACAATGCAAGTTATGTCTAACTTGGTGCTGTTAGTATATTGTTATATATGTATTAGTATATCATTGATATGCCTGTATGAAGAAACTCATGCTGCATTTATCATATTTTAGATAGAGGAATGTCTGGAAAAGACACTGGAATTGTTGTTCCTCGAAACTTTCGTTTGCTGGAGGAACTTGATAATGGGCAGAAAGGAGTGGGTGATGGTACCATAAGTTGGGGACTGGAGGATGACAGTGATATGACTTTGTCCCATTGGACTGGAATGATAATTGGGCCACCAAGAACCCCATATGAAAACCGGATGTACAGCTTGAAAATAGACTGTGGCCCAAAATACCCAGAGGAACCACCAGTCATTCGCTTTCTCAGTCGCATCAACATGAAAGGAGTTCATTCTGGCACCGGATTGGTTGATAGGAAGTCTACTCAAGTGCTCTCACATTGGCAACGTCATTATTCTATCAAAACTGTGTTACAGGAACTTCGTCGTCTCATGACAGCAAAGGAGAATATGAAGACACCCCAACCACCTGAAGGTACATTTTCCTAAGTTACCTGGCTGCTATTGTTGATATACTTGAAGGGATTATTGGTCAATTCAAAATTTGATGGTTCGGATAGTTTTTCTTTGCAAATGCTTTGTTTGGGACATTGCAACACTGCTTCATTTTGATTCATATCTGTGGTACTCAAAAATAACCTAGGTCTTCACTCTCTTGTTTCCTGGTTGTCCCATGTATGTTATCTTGAAGCTTCAAGAATTCATATGGCTTGATATTTGGAACTGCTGGATGGCATTTTGTGTCTCTCCAACTTTCTCGAGTGAAATCTTTCAGCGCAGGGGCAGGACTATATTGTCCATGGAACTATTTTCAGATGTCATGGATAAAGAGTGTTGTAGCATTGTGATAGATGAAGTTTTCCTTTCTGAGAAACACCTTCAATTTAATTTTCCTCTTCAAAGAAATAGGGCAGGACTATATTGTCCATGGAACTATTTTCAGATGTCATGGATAAAGAGTGTTGTAGCATTGTGATAGATGAAGTTTTCCTTTCTGAGAAACACCTTCAATTTAATTTTCCTCTTCAAAGAAATTCCTCCATCCTTCATGTAGAGGTTCTAAGAACCTGATTGTTGCTTATCATGTAGACCTATCTTTTGTCTCTCATGTCAGTGATTGTCATAAAGGAACCTTTATAAAAATGACAATATTGCCCAGGGTTGTGCACCCAACCAAGACACTCTCTAAGCATGGGATCCACATGAATACAAAGTGACCACATGATCCACATGAATACATAGCTGAGTTAACAATCAAGTAGTAGCATCTCCCAGTAATAAATTTTAATATTGATTGACTGGAACTGAAGCTGAATGTGTATCAGGGTTGGTAGTGGGACAGCTAATGAGGGCATATCTGGAAAGAAAGGAGAGTGTCAGTATACTGTTTAATTTGTATTCGGCATTAAGACTTATTTCATGATACAGGAAAACCTCATTAACTTGAAATTCATGGGATCAAAAAATGCCAACTCTGAAATAAACAGGTTTGAATTATCCAATTTTGTTGTACTTTTTCTTGTTTGCCATGTCACATTCACCTCTGCTCTGAACTCACAACACTGAGTGCAAACTAACAGACTGTGCACAACTATGCAAGGTTTTTGACTGAAGGTCATGTGATGTGTTGGTGAAATAAGTTTAGCAGAAGGAGTTGTTATTAGAATTCTCCTGAATGACAAAAAGGAAATCTCTGAGATGGCAATTAGCTGACCTTACAACCAATTGGAATGTGAGGTTTTTGGACTGTGGGTCTTTTGTTGGTGGTGGGGGATAATGCCCTTCATAGTAAATGAACCTGTTTCTTCAAATTTATAGTTCACTGGACCAGAAAATGCTTTTGATTTTCAAATTTGCCATATTTTGAGTTATCCATATTAGAAAGCATACAAATTGCTATCCTCTGATGGGGAATGCTGATGACTTTGAAGTACCTTATAATTTGAGGTTTTCTTGTATACTGTGAATTCTTTTGAAATTGCATCATCATGAATGTGTCATACTGGCTCTACCAAATGTTGCCCAGTGACAGAGGATAGACCTTCAGTGAAATTAGTACACTTGTATGGGGAAAATAGCCTTGTAAAGTAGCATGGGATGCACTCAATGTCTCAACTCAATTAATTCACTTCAGTAGGTGGTATGGCCACCACTGGCTGCAATGCAGGCCTCCAACCAATGTGGAATGCCATCATTGAGATGTACTGAGATAACGGTGCATCTCACTATCTGGTAGCACCATTTGTCTGTAAGTGTGATTTTTTTAATGGCTCATCCTGTGGCTCTGTTAAATATTTGGCAGAGTGAGATGATTCCTGCATGGTGATGCAATTTCAATGGAAGCCAGTGTAGTTGCTGATTGTTTTGAAAGTTTTTTTTTAAATACCACCTTAAGGACATATGGAATTTATTTGTCTGGAAAGAGATGAACAGCTGAAGAGTCCTAGGATTTCTCTTTCAATGACCCCTCACAGCATACCATAACTATGTCATTGGGATGATGTCCTTATCATGAGTGATTCTTACACAACATTGCAGGAACTCAGATATTTCAATAATGAGAGACATGACAGATGCTGGATACCTTGGATTCCAAACTTGATTATCATGGGAGCATGATTACTGCAAATCCTGAACCTGTCTTAATAGACAGGCACATGATCTTCTAGCTTAATCTAGCCTTCACAGACAGAGGGCCTGATTTGCATGGCATNTGCAAGTTATGTCTAACTTGGTGCTGTTAGTATATTGTTATATATGTATTAGTATATCATTGATATGCCTGTATGAAGAAACTCATGCTGCATTTATCATATTTTAGATAGAGGAATGTCTGGAAAAGACACTGGAATTGTTGTTCCTCGAAACTTTCGTTTGCTGGAGGAACTTGATAATGGGCAGAAAGGAGTGGGTGATGGTACCATAAGTTGGGGACTGGAGGATGACAGTGATATGACTTTGTCCCATTGGACTGGAATGATAATTGGGCCACCAAGAACCCCATATGAAAACCGGATGTACAGCTTGAAAATAGACTGTGGCCCAAAATACCCAGAGGAACCACCAGTCATTCGCTTTCTCAGTCGCATCAACATGAAAGGAGTTCATTCTGGCACCGGATTGGTTGATAGGAAGTCTACTCAAGTGCTCTCACATTGGCAACGTCATTATTCTATCAAAACTGTGTTACAGGAACTTCGTCGTCTCATGACAGCGAAGGAGAATATGAAGACACCCCAACCACCTGAAGGTACATTTTCCTAAGTTACCTGGCTGCTATTGTTGATATACTTGAAGGAATTATTGGTCAATTCAAAATTTGATGGTTCGGATAGTTTTTCTTTGCAAATGCTTTGTTTGGGACATTGCAACACTGCTTCATTTTGATTCATATCTGTGGTACTCAAAAATAACCTAGGTCTTCACTCTCTTGTTTCCTGGTTGTCCCATGTATGTTATCTTGAAGCTTCAAGAATTCATATGGCTTGATATTTGGAACTGCTGGATGGCATTTTGTGTCTCTCCAACTTTCTCGAGTGAAATCTTTCAGCGCAAGGGCAGGACTATATTGTCCATGGAACTATTTTCAGATGTCATGGATAAAGAGTGTTGTAGCATTGTGATAGATGAAGTTTTCCTTTCTGAGAAACACCTTCAATTTAATTTTCCTCTTCAAAGAAACTCCTCCATCCTTCATGTAGAGGTTCTAAGAACCTGATTGTTGCTTATCATGTAGACCTATCTTTTGTCTCTCATGTCAGTGATTGTCATAAAAGAACCTTTATCAAAATGCCAATATTGCCCAGGGTTGTGCACCCAACCAAAACACTCTCTAAGCATGGGATCCACATGAATACAGAGTGACCACATGATCCACATGAATACATAGCTGAGTTAACAATCAAGTAGTAGCATCTCCCAGTAATAAATTGTAATATTGATTGACTGGAACTGAAGCTGAATGTGTATCAGGGTTGGTAGTGGGACAGCTGATGAGGGCATATCTGGAAAGAAAGGAGAGTGTCAGTATACTGTTTAATTTGTATTCGGCATTAAGACTTATTTCATGATGCAGGAAAACCTCATTAACTTGAAATTCATGGGATCAAAAAATGCCAACTCTGAAATAAACAGGTTTGAATTATCCAATTTTGTTGTACTTTCTCTTGTTTGCCATGTCACATTCACCTCTGCTCTGAACTCACAACACTGAGCACATACTAACAGACTGTGCATAACTATGCAAGGTTTTTGACTGAAGGTCATGTGATGTGTTGGTGAAATAAGTTTAGCAGAAGAAGTTGTTATTAGAATTCTCCTGAATGACAAAAAGGAAATCTCTGAGATGGCAATTAGCTGGCCTTACAACCAATTGGAATGTGAGGTTTTTGGACTGTGGGTCTTTTGTTGGTGGTGGGGGATAATGCCCTTCATAGTAAATGAGCATGTTTCTTCAAATTTATAGTTCACTGGACCAGAAAATGCCTTTGATTTTCAAATTTGCCATATTTTGAGCTATCCATATTAGAAAGCATACAAATTGCTATCCTCTGATGGGGAATGCAGATGACTTTGAAGTACCTTATAATTTGAGGTTTTCTTGTATACTGTGAATTCTTTTGAAATTGCATCATCATGAATGTGTCATACTGGCTCTACCAAGTGTTGCCCAGTGACAGAGGATGGACCTTCAGTGAAATTAGTACACTTGTATGGGGAAAATAGCCTTGTCAAGTAGCATGGGATGCACTCAATGTCTCAACTCAATTAATTCACTTCAGTTGGTGGTATGGCCACCACTGGCTGCAATGCAGGCCTCCAACCAATGTGGAATGCCATCATTGAGATGTACTGAGATAACAGTGCATCTCACTATCTGGTAGCACCATTTGTCTGTAAGTGTGACTTTTTTAATGGCTCATCCTGTGGCTCTGTTAAATATTTGGCAGAGTGAGATGATTCCTGCATGGTGATGCAATTTCAATGGAAGCCAGTGTAGTTGCTGATTGTTTTGGAAGTTTTTTTTTAAATACCACCTTAAGGACATATGGAATTTATTTGTCTGGAAAGAGATGAACAGCTGAGGAGTCCTAGGATTTCTCTTTCGATGACCCCTCACAGCATACCATAACTATGTTATTGGGATGATGTCCTTATCATGAGTGAGTGATTCTTACACAACATTGCAGGAACTCAGATATTTCAATAATGAGAGACATGACAGATGCTGGATACCTTGGATTCCAAACTTGATTATCATGGGAGCATGATTACTGCAAATCCTGAACCTGTCTTAATAGACAGGCACATGATCTTCTAGCTTAATCTAGCCTTCACAGACAGAGGGCCTGATTTGCATGGCATCATGCAGATTGCCAGTGTGGCAGAGTGAGGCTTATCATTTTTTCGATTAAGTTGTGAATTTATTAAAAGGAAAATTTTCCACTTAGTGTATCATTCTTCAACAGATACCTCGTTCTCGAAAGCCCCGGAGGTTGGAAAGAAAACATGAATTACTAGGATTATGGATTGGTTACTGAACCTATAAAAGTGTTGTTACCTTAATGCCCAACTCTCAATCCAAAGGAATCGAATACCGGTAGTTTTTCATTTTGTTATACAGTCGACGCTCGATATTTTTTTGCTGTTGCAATTTCTGACCTTTTGCTTATCCACATGCATGCTGAAAAGTTTCGCTATAACGAAGTTCTGTATAAGGAATTGAATTCGCTTTCACGAAGTCATTTTTTCGTCCGAAGGAAGAATACTTAGTATCTCAAAGTTTAAATAGTATGCACACGTCAGAGCTACTTTCTTTCGTGCATCCCTGGAAAGTCTCATTTCATATCTAAATTTAGCATGTTCCACCCACTTATGGGTGTGACCGTGGGGAGTAAGGGAGCTCTGCCAGTCAGTCTTAATCTCTTGATCTTGAGGATCGGGGTCAGGCCGAGTCCGGAATTCTGCTCGGTCAGGCAACCGAAGCCTTCGACTATCTTCAGCCGTTATTCGGTCAAAAGCTGAATGTTGTGCCTGAAACTTTTCAAACATCAAGTGCTCTGCGGACCACGCCTTAAAGAATCGTTAAAGGAGCGCGGCAGACAACCATCTGGGACTTCGTTTCCCATGAATAGCCAGCGTTGGTGACTCATCCGAATTATATTGCACATACGTCAGAACATACTGCTGTGCACGCCCATTTAGGTACATATGTACATCTTGGAAGCTGTGTTTTTACAGTATGACACGCGCTTAAGCCTTCACATTTTTTCATGAATGGACAGCCTTCTTTTTGCAACAATGACATTTTGAAGTGACATTCACGCAAGTTCTCTCTTCTCAGTGAAATGTGGGGAATTCCCATAACGAATTCTGTGATGGTATGACAGAAGGAGATAAGTCCACTTTTGGCGAAATTTAGTTGACATCATCACCACATAGAGTGTGTCGTGATCCTGCTTCCTAGCATAAAACTTCTTCATATCTGCTACCTATTGAATATTTTCAGTTGGGTGGGCTGCATAGAAGTCGAACAGTCAAGGAGGTGAAGTGGAGAGGAATTTAAAATTCTTCCTCCTGAGAATTTGCGAAAATAGACTTATCGCCTTCTGTCATACCACCACAGAATTTCTCTTATAACGAAAGATTTTCTGCCCGTCCCTTCGAATTCGTTAAATCGAGCGTCGACTGTATGTAAATATTGAACAAGATCTGGATGCATGTAGGAAAACAACACGTATGAGGTACAAGAGTTTGTGGTATTCCTTGGGAATCCGTAACCTCCTCGTAACCAGTGTGAAATTTGGTCCGTATTTGATGACCTCTCCGTTAAGTCTCAAGGAATCTCATCAAAGAAAGGGAAAAAATTATTGCTAGTTAAACCTGTTTGAAATGTCAAATGGTCGTCTTCTTGTCTGGAGAAATGGATTCGACTTCCTTCGGTCGTTTAATTCCTGCTAGTGGATTGTCTGCTTGAAGTATCGCATGTGTGAAACGCCGGCAACTCAGGCTCGTCTGTGCCTTTTTTTTCTTTCTCCTTCCTTCCCCAGAACTTGACCATCTTTCTTCAGTATCTCATAATACGGCTGAAGATAGTCGAGGGCTTCGGTTGCCTGACCGAGCAGAATTCCGGACTCGGCCTGACCCCGATCCTCAAGGGTCCAAATCACTGAAGCGTAGAAGTGAGCATCATGAGAAATCTTCCGACGGTGCTCGTCGGACATTCACTTCAGCCCTGGAGGCGTAAGGCTTCTCTCCTCCTCAAATAGCCGTGAATGTCTCGAGAGTGTGTTTTCTCATGCGAAATACTTTTCTGTGCCTGCGATCATGGTGGCCTTGTCTAATTGGTCAGCGTCTTTTGGCGAGTGGTTTCAGCTCCATGGGGAGCTTCCCGAGATTCATTTCTTTCCTCTCCTTAGGACTCACAATCTGTCTTGTATGAATCCATCACGTGGATATCACTTTCGTTTGCCCCATGGTGCAGCAGTTTCGTGCAACAATCGTCTCCTAACCAGGTACTGGTTCTGTTCACGTGTTTTCCGGTAGACATTTCTGTTTCATTCCCATGCACGTTTCTGTGACGTTATTCCGATTCATTTTCCCTTTACGTTCGCCGCGGTTCGTTCCCCATTGACCCAAGAGATTTTGATTAATCCCTGGATTTGTCTGTTGGATCAGGTTACGGTCACTTCCCCCCCTCCCCCCCCTTTTTTTTTTTCTTCTGCTCAGAGTCTAACGATGTATTTCGTGAGGCGTCAGGCTTCGCCGGTCGTTTCTAATGACCGTGGATAACACGCATCTTCCACGCCGCTACCGAGTCGATGATGTACTAGATGTCAATGCACACATGGTGGATTCAACCCTTTAAGTGCCGGTACACTCAGTTTCTCATTTTATTATCATCTCACCTCATCACCAAATCATTCTATTTTGCGCGGTCGTACTGAATGCGCGACGAGATGAAAAATAAGGTAGGCATACCGGGGTCAAAGATAGTTGCCTATGTGGGGAAATTCATATTCGTTCAGGCATAAAATTGGTCGAACCCTTTTCGAGGCAAGCGTTGTTCCGCTCCAGCTTGTTTTTTATGTGGCCAGTTGAGCAGCACCGGTACGTCTCCCTGGTCCATTTGCATAATGATATAGCTTAGACGATTTTGTTGGCTCTCCGGGTGACGGTGATGATGTACGGCAGGAGTGTGGAAACATCGTCACGGTCAGACAAATGCTCTATCCAGGCTTGAGTGCGAATCGTGAGGGATTGTGGCTTCCCGATATGCCTTCCTACGTTACCCTCTGTTGAATTCCCCTATCAACGACCTTCTTGAAAACTTGTCCGTTTCCGTGACTGCACCCTTCATAATGAAACCAGATGTTCAGATGTCGCCTTCCGTGTTCTCCTCCAGCCAAGGAGAACAGTATCTGATGTGGAATAAGTGCGTTTGTGGTTAAATCAGGGACCTCCCAAGTTGTATTTTTCTTAGTCATGTCTGTCAGCATGATCGAAGAAGCTGCGGAATAGCCTTAACAAAATGATATGCAGTAGCTGTGTTCATATGCATGACACTGTCAATGACAGGAAGGTGACGTGATAGCTGACACTCAAGTGGAAAAGGATATCACATCATTCTCCATTATTTACAAGTACGAGTAATGGGAGTGGGGTTAGGAAAGGGGAAGGGGAATGAGATCTCTGTAATTGAGGAGAGAGAGAGAGAGAACGAGCCGTTGTTCCTTGATCGCTTCGATGCCTTTTCTCCGATTGCCCCTTGGAGGTGAAACCCAGAGTGTGCAGTGGTTGGTCAAGCCTGACATCTCTTGCGCTTCCTTCTAGCTCTCAGTTCACGTATTCACTGTGGAAGATGTGGTTTCTGGCTGCGCTCCCTTTAATCATTTTTGGACCATGGACGACGATAATTTCCTCCACACCCCTTTTTTGTTTTATATTTGGTCTGGGACTCTCGTTTCTCCTCTGGTGCTCAGAGGCAAGATTCCAGTGTCGTCCGTTAGGCTCTGATGCAAGCAGGGCAATCCCGACAGACCGAGAAGGAAGAAGTCACGGAAGCATGAGATGAGAAAGAAACGCCTATCTGTGTGGAGCATCTCGGTATCACTTGGGTTATGAACGGGAGATGCCAAGGAAAAGCGTCTTCTCACTGATATTTATTATTATTATTCTCTCTGCTGTGTGGGGTTGTGCCGTGCGCGACGTAGCTGCTTGTACGTGGCTCATCATTTCTTCAATCGCTTCCCGTGAGTCTTAGACAAGGTTCTTATCCTATAAATGGAGGGCTGAAAGGCAAAGTGGTCGGTCTTTCCGAAAAAAAATCATTCCTCGAGCTCCACATGGAAAGAGTGAATATTCCAGGACCGTCTTGTTAAAAGTGAGGAGAAGAGGTATGTAACGATAGATAAGTTCATCTATATATCTATAATTCCAGAAAGCTATAATTTTCTATTAAAGGAACAAGACTTTATGGGCACTAAACCAACTATACTTTTTTTTGGAATTTTTTTGCTGATAGACTACTTTACCTTTCAGTCCTTCAATTACCAAAACAAAGACTTACTCTTGGCAAAAGCTAAATGTCACTATTTCCTTCACGTGACTAAATTTTGTAACAAAATAGGAGCTCGGTGACTCGAATGATGCAGTTACATGTTCTTGCGTTTTTCGTTTGATAAAATTATTCCATTCAATTCTTGATAAAATGCATCGATGTAAATTATTGAGGGTGGATTTTTTAAAAGAGAACTATCCGATAATGCTGCTTATTTCCCAGAAATATCATGTATTTTCCCTGGAATAAAGCTGCATTATGGTTGGATAATGGTTCTCTGTTCAAAAATCCACCCTAAAACTTTTTGAACTCGTCTATCAGTGTACGGTTGGTGAAGCTGGGCTGTTTTGGCGAAATTTATGGTCGTGACGCAACAAATCTCCAGCCAACAAACCTATCGTTCTAGCTAGTTAAAGCTGTGAACAACCGTGGTGACTGCCAGGACAGGTATGTGAGTATATGGCAATATCTTCCTGGATGGGGAATATGCCTGTAGAATTTTCAGCAAGCTGATAAAGGAGCCATATCTCACAAGTCATAACATTTCAGAGGGTGTTAGCGCATTTGATGGCCAGCCTCCAATCCCTCTAAACCGCATGCACTTCCACTGACTATTGCCAGTAGGAATTTTGTCATGGGTTCACTTCACGTTGTTGGCGTCAAAAGTTGCCGTAACTATTTTTGCGTACCCTCACGAGTCGAGAAAGTCGAGTGCTACCAGGAGGTCACCAATACATGCGTCACTCCGAAAGTTTTAGAATTTCCTCCAATATATGAAGAGAAAAGCTTTCGAACTCTTTCATTGACACTTAGTGAAGTTGAAGCACTTAGGGTGGGTTCTTGTACTCCCTTTTAGCCCTAAAAGACCTTTTAGGTCCATTGCCAGCTTAGGACTAAAAGCCCGTTAGCTGCTAAAATGGAGTACAAGAACCCACCCTTAGAGTTGAAGCAGGTGGGAATATCTCGTAGGCAGCGATTCTACCTAAAGCAAATCTAAGCACAAATTGGGCCACGAGAACTCGTATCCCTGAGTTGTTTGTTCCTTGAGGTGGCTAAGTCCAGCGTACTCACCCTGTGTAACAAACCAGAAAAATCAGAGCTGAATATTTATTTATGGGGCACTGCCGTTTACATGGATAGATCGGTTTCAATGTGTCTTTGGTATGAATGAAGATGGTTTTCCTCAGTTCCCCCTACTACATTTACTGAACTTTTAGGGAGGGAGGTTATTGTTAGCCTCAATTATTTTATTTTCCTTCAGCTTTCCGTGCCCTCATCAACACGTGCGCGTAATGCAGAGTGTCTAGGATTTTATCAGCTGTTCACGTGAAAAGGGAGAGTGTATTTTTTCATGCTGTCATTCAGTCACTCGTTCCATGTGACTCGTTCCATGACATTATTATCCTATGGAGCAGTCATACCATGATAGTATGCGCACTAATCAGGTGGTCATAAAGCTAGAAAAATGCATCTGAAGAAACTGCTTCCAAAGGAACAGATGGTCTACTTAAATGACACCACATTAGACAGGGCTGAGACATATTTAAAAATGTCATTTTCGTTAGTCAGAGACAGATTCTGAATACGGTCAATCCGAGCCCCGAAGTTCCTGTATTTCTTATATTGAGTATGCTGTGTTGAGCATTGCTACGCATCTGACGAATGACCTTTGCCACCTTGACCTTGCCGGGTTTATTTCCATGAGCGTGGTGCCCAGAGGCTCTCAAAACTCGGTGCTGATTGTCCAGTATGACGCAGCTCGGCATTTATCTTCATCGCACTTCCAGCGATTCCGGTTCTTTCTCTTACTGTGGGATCTATAACCGTATCCCTTCATAACCATCGACATGATTGTCAGTCATGAAAATCACGCGTGGGAAGTCGCTCTGTGCCCTTTCGTCCCTACCGTGTGTACGTCAATCACAGTTTTGTGATTCTTATCAACCAGAATGCAGGGGCGAGATTCCACTGGGGCGAAAGTGGAAGTAACCGATATTAATCTACTAATTTCAACGTGTAAGTATGACTTTGGAAGACCCTTCAGGGCCTGTTCCTCGCCTCTGCCTAACTTAATCTGAATCAAAACTGACTCCCTAGACTGCTTTTTACAATGCTTTCTGGTCACGTTTAGATTAAATTTAGATTAAACTAAGCTTATATTTACATTCAGAATACATTTCAATTTAGATTTAGATTTATATTTAGATTAAACGAGGAAAAGGCCCCAGGACCATATTTTTTGGGGCACTCCGTATTGATGTTACTATTACAACACTCGAAACAAAACGGCATGGGAAAAAAAATTCCTTATTTATGTAATATTTTGAAATTATACTTAGATGCAACTGAGGCCTAGCTACGACACTCAGATGAGGAACTTTGTTATTGCAACAAACGGAAAATTGTGGATGATATATATATTTTTAATCAGCTTCAGGATTTCCTTGCTCACTACGGAAACACCAGGCTCTCAATTTGTGAGTCATTTCTTTTTGATTGCACCGATAAATTTTTATGTTGATAAAAGACAAGTATCTCTGAAACCATGTTAGCTTTGAGAAATTCGAATGCGAAAATGTGAAACAGACTGCTAGAGGGAACTGTGTTTCCATCGGCTGCACCCTTCTGCTCTCGAGCAACCCCAACCGCAACAATTATAAAAGTGTGTTCTCACTGGTGTAAGGAGGTGCATTCACTCGGATTCCCTGACAGATGCCTAAACTCAGTGTCAGGTGGCTCTTGTTATGTGTTGTTACCCCAGGAGCGGTCTGTGTTTAGGAAGTGTTTTTTTTTTATTATAATTATTATCTGGAAGTGTTTTCATAGTCGTCGTCTATGCCTCTGACGTCACGTGAATTTGACAATATGTCCAGATCATTAATAATTGTTACACCTTGTGGGTTGCATGGTTTTTGAGAAAAATGTCTCAGAAGGCATTTAGCTTCTAAGTGAAGGTGAACTGGAGTGGGATGTCAGTAGGCCACATAAAACGTAGGTTCAAGGATGCTGCCATGGTAGTATGACAATCCTGACCCAGGGGTGGAAGGACCCCTGGAAGCTCTGATTCAGAGTCTGACCTCTGAGGTTAAACACAACGCTTCCCCTCTTGCAAGATTGAGGAAAATAACAACTCCCGTTAACTTTATGGATGTTTCACCAGATTATTAGTTCCTGCAGCCGTTGAGTTATAAATATTCCGCGATGCTGTTGAGTTTCAGTTCCTATAATTTTGTGAGCTGCACAATTACCGCGTGGATATTTCACAATGGATCACTGAGGGTACTTCAGACAACAGCTTCTGGATAGAGATAAAGCACCAATTGATGTAAGGAAAATAGTGCTCTTCACCGATAATAAGTAAACCTTAAAGAAAGTAAAAGATTATCTCGTGCTTCCTCTCTTGAGTACCCACCATCAATCGATCGATCATATAATTTCTCAATACCAGTTACATCTTTCCGCTGATTGCACTCGATTAAAAGAAGAATCTCGAAGAGGCTGACCCAAGAGAGCAAGGGAGAAAAAATAGCAGCAATTATAGATAGCCGGCCATTTTCGAGCACGTCCTCTTATTGAGCTATGTTGGTGAGTGGCCATTGAAGTTCAGTGTTGCATTAAATGTTGTGGTCTCGTTCCGCGTTTCTTCATGTGTCACGTCCAGCCTTAGCAATAGCTCCAGGCAGCCATTCTCTCAATATCATAAAGCCATGGCTCCCGGTGGTTCTTCATAGTTGTGCTTCCTCACCCGTGTCATGCTCATCTTTCCCAGATGTGAAGTGATTGAACTTTATCTGTGATATCCCATGATATTCGGCAACTGAGATCTGCCATGCCTGGAACGGGGGCGCATCTGAGCCTGAAAGAGGAAGATGTGGTGAAATTGTCCCTTGAGTTCCTCAATAACAGGGACCTGCACATCACCCAGTTGAGCTTGGAGAGGGAGACGGGTGTGATCAACGGCAGCTATTCGGATGATCTCCTTTTCCTTCGACAGCTAATCTTAGACGGACAGTGGGAAGATGTGCTGGAATTCATTCAGCCCTTGGAGTCCATTGATGGTTTCGATGCCCGCAAGTTCCGTTACATAATCCTCAAGCACAAGTATGTGGAGCTGTTATGCATCAAATCCGAGGCTGGGCAGTTAGCCAACATGGAATCGGCCATGGAAGAAGTCGTAAAGGTGCTTAATGATCTGGAGGGCGTTTGCCCGAGCAAAGAGGAACATTCCAATCTTTGTCTGTTGCTTACAATGTCGAAGCTAAGTGACGAAGCCGAATTCCGTGACTGGAATCCTAGCACTGCTCGTGTGCAATGTTTCCGTGCAATATACCCATTGGTCGAGAAGTTCCTCGTGGACAAGAAGCCCATTACTCCCATGTCGAAGAACGATCGCTTGATGCAGCTCATCATCAAGGGGCTCCTCTATGAGTCCTGTGTCGAGTATTGTCAGCTTAAGGCCACCAGCACAAATGGAACCCAGGCCGGAGAAATGCAGTTTGCGAAGCTCCTTGGACCGAATACCGGCTTCTCCGATGCCGATCTCAGCCTCTTGTCTTGGCTTCAGAGTATTCCATCGCAAACCTTCACGTGTCCGTTCGAGCAGAAGACTCTGAACGTGGACGTGGAACGCCTGGAGAAGCCTTCCCTGGAGACTTCTTGGACAGAGCACATGTTGGTGACCCCGATCAAGCCGAAGATCTTTCCCTATTCCGCTATGCCGTATACGAGGCCTCGCAGTGCGGACATCATGTCCCGGTCATTGAACATCATCCTGGAGAACGGACTCCCGTCGACCGTCATGCCGTTGGGGATGAACCCTACGAGAAACAGTTTGATGGTTTTGTCCGTGGGAGAGATGTCTCGAAGCTTGGCCAGTTTTCATTTGTCGGGGAACAAGAAGTCCATGAACACGTCGGTTGACAAACTTTTCGAGGACTCTCACGAATCAGTATTTACGAGCAACATAAATAATTCGAACTGTGATTTGCCTCCGATAATGGAGCGAGGCGAGCTCCCGCGACCCCCACGACGGAAACGATCCAAAAGTCCAGAGAAAGGTGGAAGTCCGAGTCGAGCTACTTCTTCCTCCAGGCGACCCCTCCCCCCAACTCCAGATGATTCCATGTCTCCCAACGATTCCCCCCGAGCATCCAGAGATTCCACGCCCTCTGCTTCCGGGGACCTTTTGAGAGAGTACCAAAGACAGAAACAAAACAGGGTGGGACCACACGTCCAAACTGACGAGGTTCAGCTGAATGGTGGCGATCCCGGACTGCGCCGTTCACGATTGGATGGCTCACCTAGAAGAATCAGAACGAACGGGGACGAGCTCCAGGCCTCTCAAAAGCCGCAAACCGTCCAGAAAGAAAAGTGAGTTGGTTCTCCTTGTTTCATGAACGGGGGTTGGGTCATTAATTTCTCTTGCTCTCCATGAATCTTCCTTTAGCAAGTATGATTTCATCTTTGGTTGAGTTCCGCACCGATGAACTTCAGGTATTCATACTTAGCTACAACTTGGAGTTATCAGCCGTCACAGTCTTCTACCATCGAAACTACCATTGATTAAGGCATTATCAGCATTAATATGGATGATGATGCGCGAGATCGAGTCGACGTGGACCACTCGTTAGCACATTCTGGGAAGGGAACGAGAGAATAGATGAGTCGGAACGCCCAATCTTATCGACCTGCTATATGTCCATTGCTTCATGCTTCAGTTGCTGCAGCTTGCGGTCCTTGACAATGTAATCAATTTTCAGTATCTGTACACGTTCTATTGAACCGTTCCCGGAAAGGTTCTGGCATAAACATTCGATCCCAAGGTTCAACTGTGTGCGACTGAGTGGTAAAACATTTATGAGGAATACTGGAAATAAATTATCATCAGCGACATAATTTTAAGTTAGTAGTTGCAGCATGTTATTCACCTGTCAATTTCATGCATTGATTTTTTTTAAAATTCCCTTCTATTAGTATATCGTCGAGGCTGTTTCATTTCGTGCATGGATAGTGGAATTCGCCTTGAATCTCTAAAATCTGCTTTCTTTTCGAATAGATTGATACATAGAACTTGACTGACTGAAAGGAATGATATGGAGTAAGTATAACTTGGCTAACGTATTGGGTACTCACGACAGGGCCCCGGTGGTGACACCTAATCACAATGTGCAGACGAACCCCCTTTTCAACCCCATTGTGTCAACCCCTCATCCGGTCTCGTCAGGAATCCTTGAGCACCCTCTACCTTTTAATGGGTAAGTGATTTATGGTCCATTTCACAAAGCAGTACCTGCTTTACCCAAGTCGGGTCTTCCTGCTGAGACAGAGAGCAATGCTCGTTCAGCGAAGCGTGTCCACCGTCCATAAAACACTCTTCGTTCTCACTCTCGCTTAAGCTACGCGTCCTTCCCACCTGCAGTGAACCCAGATTAGTCTATCGACCACATTAGAAATTCAGCATCCTTGATAAGTTGCTGTCGTCGAAATAGGAGATGCGAGGTTCAACTCGGAGCCCCCGTTTTTTTTTTTCTTCAGAACTTTGTAGTCCTCTTCCCTGGCCGTGGGTACAAATAAAAAAAAGAAGCAATCAGACAAAATGGCACGCTACAGTATCGATCACTCACTGGATTATAAATGAGGACCTAGTTGCCCTTCTCTTGTGGAAGGGAGCTCTTTAAAGGGAGATGCACTGGAATGTCCTAACGGCTTACCAGAGCTTCAGAATCATTGGGGAATGCTTTTCTTTGAATGCATAACACTATATTTAACCCTTTAATAAAGGAATTTAGGCTTGGGAATAATTATTTAATTTAGTGTAATGGATTCGACAAGGCTTTAGAGACATGCTTATATGTCTTAGCTTTCTTATATGTCTTATATGTCTTAGTCTTATAGAGGCATGCTTATATGTAACTTTTAAAATCAAATTACCTCAAATTTAAATTATTTGACAATTTAAACAATTTCGTGAAATCATATAGCTTGATCAGTTTTGCTATCAATCAAATCCTTATTTCCTATCTTACGTTTTCGACAATTCTATACTACTTTCCATAATATAGCTCAAGGAATCCTGGGGAGAAAATTAGCTGGGAAAGGAATTGTAATAAACCTCAAAGTTCCGTCGGTTTGGTCGGCTCAAGACGGATAGACACATAACGGACGCAATGTAAACAAAGCATCAGGTAGCTTGCGTTGCTGTGGTATAGCTGACTCGGTTGTTGATCAGGAAGAATTCATATGCTATGATAGGAAAATTATTGACGTTGGTGGTTCCAATTGGAGCCTTTGGGAATGAAATGGTTAAGGACTACATTGATGATAATCCGTGGAAGTAATGAGAATGTTCATCTAACCTTCTCCTATTTATAGTACCCTACGTAGGTCTATTCTGTTTAAAGCATGTAGAAGGGAGTATCCTTCCAGACTGGTCTGGCAGCGACATGGAGATTGAAATATTGCAAAGTGGCATATTCTCTTGAAGGAAGTCCATTATGATGCACCCAGCTTTTATGGGAATTGGCAAAAGCTCCGTTTTGAGCCTTTGCTTTGTCGTATAATCGTAAGCTCTGTTGATGCTGCAATGGAGAAATGCGAAAGTCAGCAAGGAGACATAATGTCTTGAGATTTTCGTAATATGGACAGAATTCTGCCGACTTTTTGTATTATCCAGATCTTTGAAGGGAAGAAAAAGTAAAACTGACTATATAAAACCATATTCCCAAACCAGATTCCCTGCATCTAGTAGTTATTTACCGCTGCCGCACGTGATTTTCCTCTAGCCTGAAGATTTGTAAGAACGTATTATCTGCTCAAAATTCGAACTGATTCCAGGCTCTCTGAAGCCATAACTGTTGTAGATGGGCTATCGTTGCATTCTGATTTCGTTTGCAACTGTTAAGAATACTGGGTGACACAATATTTATTCCCCCCCTCCTCTCTTGTGGAGCCTCATTACTTCGATTTGAAAGCTGATTATTTCTGGAAAATACATGTATGAGTTGGTAGGGATTCCTTTACAATTTGGTATCTCTACGAGAGGGCATTTCTTCACACTTAAAGCCTATGGTCTTAATGCTCTGGAAGTATAGAGACTACAGGCTTTCCAACCCTGCAGTTTATCAGATCATATCCCCAACAGTTGGAAACGTAGAAATGCAACTTCTAGACCTACCTATTCTGGAGGCATCTCTGTAAACTCATAATTAAATGTACTTCCTGGAACTATAAGGCTTTTCATATCGAGGTTATATCATTGAGCTTCACGGGCGACTAAATATTGTGTGCCACCCTGTAGACAGTTTTTCTCAAAGCTTTCATCTGCGAATAGGTTATAATACGGTGAAGGAAACGCATAATTTCAAGTGAACAGTTTATTCGGCAGACGCGTACTGAATAGATTATGGTTATGAAGAGGAAGCGGTCAGTAAAGATATAGAGAGGAAATGTTAAAAATGCACTATCAAGCAAACTAACCAGCTTAATTTATATGTCTATTCCAGGCAAAGCTCAGCATTAACAGGAAACTTGGAACCAGATCCAGCCGGACTTCAAGCTGGCCGTTATGATGCCATCAAGGTGAGTTTCTTGTTACTTAAACTCTGGCATTGCCTGCAGGAAGGAAGCACGTCCTTCAATGAACATTGAAGGTCATGCAAGACATAATGTACGTAGTGTTGCGTGTATACGCGCTGCACGCTTCAAGCTCCATTTGTTTAAGAAAAACAAGCTGAGGTACTTGATAGTTCGTTTTTGTCTTCTATCTTGGGGCCGATACTTTAGCAGACTTCAGCACCAACTTTAAGATCACTCCGAAGTTCAGGCTTCTTGCTTTTATGGATGTTCTTTTCCTGTTTTTACAATGTCACGACGTCTTGTTAAGATATAAATTCTCTTTGAGTATAAAGACACTGGTCACGAACCAGTTCTCGCTCTAGCTCATGATGTTCTCGATGAAAATTTTAATTCTCTGCGGTGTGTACCGGTGGCAATCGTTGGAAATGTGTTGGCTAGGTAGGTATACATTTTGTATAGGAAGGACTATTGCGACCTACATGTCAAGAACCTTTAATGATGAATCAAGCTGCAAGCTGCCTTCATGCAATTACATCCTGGAGTTCTGTTATTTTCAATCATATTTCTTAGATCACCTTGGGGAAAAGGGAGCTAATCTTAATTACTTTGGTTAGGGTGTTTTAAATGTCTGTTGAAAGTGAACTGACACATTCGAAGAAGATGGGTTCTATTGGGTAGAACAAGCCATACGCCGGCATGCTTTTGCAGATAAGAGACATTGAAGATATTTGTACAACCCTATTAGCTCAAGGATGGATCAAGATACAGTGAAAGCCCGGTATAAGGCGGCTCATACCGCGGATTCGGATATACCGCGGGTCAAGTCATATCCCCCGAAAAATAAATAACATTAACTTCATGGTAAGTTCATATTGCTTGGTTTTACATCTTTGAGGAGAGAGCTATAGAGCGAGTCATTCTATTTTAAGACATGACCTTGCGAGGGCATCCCCTGTGGTATGTGGGAGCAGGTATGCGGAAGGAAGGGTGCAGTCACATGGAGCAAGGGGTTTTCCCCAACCTGTTAAGTGATGTTCCCATTTTTCGTTACCCTGTCTGTGCTCTGTCTTCACTGGTTAGGCTTATTGCTATAACGCATGCTGTATGCAACAATGGGCAACGCTGTGACTAATACACAGGAAATGCCCTCACCCAGGGTGCATTTTCCATTATAAGGCGGGTGTTATTCATACCCCCCGACACCCGCGTTACATCGGGCTTTCACTAAACCAATTTTTTTATTTTTAAATTTTATAATTTATGCAAAACCGATCTCGATATCGGTTTTGCCCTGTCCATGGCTACTGAATGTTTTCCAAATACTGTGTGACAACTCCACTCCACCGAAAGGACACGGCATGGGAGGGGGGGGAGGAAATACATGGAAGTCCTCCCTCCTTGGGATTGAGGTCTCCCTCGCTGTTATGTGCGTAACTGGTAGTTGATCTTCGAAGCTGCAGATGTCGCTCGATATGCGGATGCTCGTACCCGCCATGGCAGCCAACCGTAACGACGACAATGAGGAAATTCTTTGAGGATCATCATATAAAGCCATTTCATGCTTGAATACCAGTTACCCCACGATTGGATGTTTTCTCTCATGCGAGGGACAGGAAAGAATCTACGTAATTCAGTACATACCAACCAGACACTCGGCTTTACGATGAAATAGTTTTTACATTGCAGGTACAGGGTGTCCATGAATTAAATATATATTAAATAATTAATGGAAAATTTACCATGCAAGCAATCAATCTAAAATCGGCGCCATTTAATTGACAAAGGTTGGGAGTTATTTTTTTAAATTTTGTTGTATTGGTACCACTGTTCATTTAAAGATAGCGTACATTTGTGAGGAACGCGTCCTTATTGTGAAGAAGTTTTATCAAATAGGTAGTATCGCGCAGGTGCAACAAGTCTTACGTCATATTTTGAGGCGAGGGGCGCATCAAAAAGTTAGCTGTACACTTTTTTGGGCTCCAACCTTGTCTTTAGGCTGGTAAAAATAAAGTAAGACCTTCAGAATCTCTGAAACAGGATTAGTTTTTCGATTAATTTTATGATGGGATGATTCTTCACCTCGAAATATGAACGACACTCTCGCCGAACCTACACAATGCTACCTGTTTGATGGAACTTCATCTCTGTAAAGACACGCTTCTCAAAACTGTGCGCCATTTTGAACAGTGGTGTCAACTGTAAGAATTAAACTTTCATTCTTTGTCAATTAATTTGCGCCAGTGTAAAATTGGCTAATTGCATGATATTTTCTATTTATTATTTAAATTAGGTACCTGAATCGTGGGCACCCTGTAGCTTCTCTGTTATAGCGGGTTTGTGCGGGGATTCCCGCTCCGAATATGAGGATGAGATGAGTAATCGTGTATATTAATATGAATAATAGGACACCGCATGCAACTTCGACAGGATTCTCTTCTAGTGTAGTCATTTTTCATTTGTCAGGCGCTTGCTCATACCATGGTGACGATTCGATCCAATAGATAGATGGAAGAGTGCCCTCTGACCCTTTCACCATCAGTCTAGATGATGTAATCTATATATCTCTATTCCATAGCGTGTTAAAAGTAAGTTCACACCGACTGCGTAGCACAGCATAAATTAGAGCGCTATAGCCCAGCGCCAGTTCCTGGGCCCTTTGTTGACTCGCGATCAACTCTTTGCATAGACCCCCTTATGCTGTGCTATGAGATTGGCGTGAACTGACCTTTATGGTAAACTCCGGTTTTGTGGGTGATGGGCGATATAGGCTTACGAGGGAAGCTGGAAAACCTCATCATGGCCCCAAATACTGAGCTCCTCGAGTAACACATTTGCATGCGCTGGAGCCATATGTCCCCTTGTCACACCTATTTGCATTCATGCTGAACTAATTGAAAGAGGCCTTCAAAGGACGCATGGGAGAACCACTCCTCGACGGTCTCGGCCGACTTATCAGGGCTACGAAAGCTCCATGGTTCCAAGTCGCCTGTTCATGTCGCAACGAGTTCCAGAAGGGTGGGGCTGCTTTTACTCGTAATATTGAATTTGGCTTAAGAATCACTTTCGGGACACAGAGACCTTTTGTCCAGAGACTGAGATGTAGACCTGACGTGCGTTAGGTGGATCGGCCCCCATCTCTTGATCGGATACGATAAGGAGGAATTCCTTGCTCTCTCAGTTGATAACGTCACGTCTTACTGATGCATTACTTCTGAACGACTTGTTTTCTCGAATTCCAAATACGAATGAGGGCAGTTGATAGAAGGGATAAGCCTTTTTCGTCGCATGGACGGGAAGGAGTTGACCCTGAGAAACCGCGAGAGACTAGTGTTCTCGGCTCGCCTGCCTGAATTCCGCGCTTTCCATAACGCATTTGAGCTCGTCTTGCTTGATATGCCATGTTTCTTTATGAAGATGCTACCCTACGCTCTATCTTCCTCCTCACTGAATTATTGTCCGCGTGTAGGCGGTTGATAATGTCCGGTCCCACGCCACCACTGCAATCCCATTGCCCTCCCCAGCCGACAGGCGTCAACTATGTTGTGCATGGGAATCCGCTTCGGATGAGCCTTTCGGAATCACCGTTAAGGGAGTGAAGCTCCCGTCTGTGTCATACAGGTGCTTATTGTTCTGTTCTTGGTCGAAACGAAAGCTGAGTTATGGAGATAAGTTGTAGAGCTCTGTGGGCGTGGAAGCCCCACATCAGTTCGGCTGCGATCCAAGTGTGAACGCCCTTCTCCGTGGGCGAGAGTGGGCGATCGTGGCTTTAAAAGGCAGAATTTATTATCTGCCCCTCTCCCTCTCTCTCCTTCTCCGCACTATCGACTGGGGATGTTCCTACGCACACTAGAAAATTGTTCTAGATCCTGTATCTCACCATGGTCGCTCTTGCAATGGAAATGCATTGCTGTCTTGAATTGAGCCCGAGGTTAATGACAAGATCTCAGACGTCGCCAAGGGAGAACGTTTCTCGGGGGAGAAACTATGTGTCGCTGAATAAATCATCTTCATTAAGGAGACTGGGCGACTTTCCCGGAAGCTTCCTCTCTCCTGATGACGTAAGCCGCACGTGAGCCAATAGACCGCGTTCAGCCCGGCCGCCTGCCGAGGGTCGCCTCTCGCTTCTCAACTAGACCTATTAGTTTTTCAAAACGTTCTGCGCATTATGCCTATCTTTATTCAAGATCGGTTCAAGACGGCGACTGCCAGTTCGGCTTCTGGGAAGGCCGTCACTGTCATCCTTCCTGTTTGCCATGGTGAACCCACAGATGTCTATCTCCGAAAGGGTGACTAAGCCCTTTAGCTATGACTCAGATTCACATGAGCATAGGCAGTTGATGGAGATTTAGAGCATAGATAGACTTGTGAAAATAGTTCGGTGGAATTTTCACTCACTAGGAGCCTCTATACTGCCTTATACTGAATTTCGCAGTCCAGAATTTTCTTTGCTAGTTAATTTCCCACCCTCATATTAAAAGGTTCCTAGCGCACCAATTTTGCTGTTCCGGCATTATACTTCCGGAGTACTGGAAATACCTGGTTGAGGGTCTTGTTCTTGCTCCTCTGGCGACTGAATATACAGACTAAAGTTACGGACAAGGACAAAAACTACTGAACTGATTTCGAAAAGTGATGAAAGTAGTAATTACTTCGCTTTTAGTATTCCTTCCTGCTGGCTGGATTTAGTCAATGGGCAGAGATTGGCAAAATACTGTCTAAGGTTATTAAATGCTAAATGACGAATGGAAGTACATTTAGAGTACTTAACACAAAATACGTGTTCATATCTTTTTCAACAGGAGGTATAATTGGGAGTCTTAAACCCTTGGGCGGCAGCTTTTTGTGCCTTCTGAAGACCCTCCATAAATGTTGACTTTACCCTGTCAACTGAGTTGATTGAAGGAGGCTTCGTTTTACGACCCTGCAACTGAGGGAGGAGGTAGAGGGAAGGAAAAAAGAGGAAATATAAAAAAAGGGAATAAATGAGGGACGTATGTCGTTAAACACTATTGCTCCCATTTATTATGATATTCTAGTGCACTTATCTGATGGACTCAATTATCCTTGGATCTCCTTCCAGTGTATTTCATACACGTTTCGGTTGTACATCCCTTTGTACTTCAAATATATTCGAAGATACGTGGACTTCACCGTTGCGCGACCTTTATGAAGTGAAGTTTCGAAGTGAAGCCAGTCATTTCCATTGGACAGGACGTTGCCATTGATGTCTTCCATATCTGAATTCCCGACAACTCAAGTTTGAAGTTGCTTCCAGGGACATCATTCAATTGCTTGACGTCGCAGTCAGTTGTTTTCGAGAGCTCGTGTATTTGAACCCCTGTCAGTTTGATTCAGAGTTGCTGTCAAGAATTCAGTTGTTGACTTCCCACATTTCATGCATTTGTCAACCGCATTTTTGCTCACCTTTCCGCCATAGGTCACTATCCTGAAACTTCTGTGTATGAGCACAGAAAGTGGGACTTTTTGATGATTTCCTTTTTCACGAAAGTAGTCCTGCATCCTTTGAGGTTGATGAGGAGGAAGCTATGTCTGAAGTAGCACGATACCCCAGGTTTTCTCGCCATTTTACAGGACCCAGATGCTAGCGGACGCGTACTGGTTCAATTTATGCTGCATACTGTACCTTACTTAATTATGTGAAATGTTATTTCATATCTTCAACTTCAACTTTACCGTATACTTTTGCCGAGACAGTTTAAACTGCGAAAATTTCTTGCTCTATTAAACGTATGTACTGGTACTAAATGCGTAAACGTCATGAAATGTCATGATTTGATACTTGTATGTATTTGATACTGTCGATCTCTCAAATGGAACACACCGTAGGACATACCTCATAGCGACAGTGTTTTTTCGGATCTCAGGTACTGATCTAATGCTGAAAATGACGAACACTACTTACTATCCAGAGCGTGTAGACCGACCTAGAGCATAAACAGCTACAGTGAACCATATGTAATGCTGCCAGAAGGGGGACTTTTTAAGTTTTGCCAATAGAAACAGGTGCCCGTTGCTATACGGAGGGGATTTTTTTTATTATCCCAATCTGAGTAGACATTGAAAGCAGCAGATCACGATTGTTCTTTCACCATTTAAAGTTTAAGCATGTTGCCTCGTCGACCAAGCATCACGTCGATCGAGGAAAAGGGAGAGAAGTTGGCGAAAGGGCATGGAGGGGGAGATAGAAAAAAAAGCCGACTCTCCGAATTCCGACTGCAAGGCGCGGAAAGGAAGTAGCTGCGTTCTTTCGATTTTCTTCTTGTATATTAGCTGGATTTGAAAGTGCTCTGTTCTGGGAGCTGTAAATCTTTGGTCGCTGACCGTGTCAGACAGGCGGTAGGATAAAACAGGTTATTTTAGCATCGAGCCTATGGAGCTAACGATCGGGACCGAGTACTCTTGGCCACAATCAATAAGTGGCCGTAATGTCAAGGTGACCGGATCCGCAGGTTTCACTGTATATAGACTCCGACAATTGAGTTATTGATGGACTTGTTTCGAGGCGATTGCCATGTCATTTGTTAAGGGTCTCGAGTACCGATCTGATCCTGAAACAGACGGAAAGTTCTTATCTGAGACATGACTATCCAAGGACCAAAATGAAATGGATGGATTCTGACAAAATGTGGTTCTGATGGCCTTGTTTGACAGCAAGCGAGTTTCCCCTGTCGGACTTAGGTAAGGCTCCTCGCACTGTCTGTACCGAACTGAAAAGCATTTCGAATGAAGTACTAAACAGATTTTAACAAATGACCCAGTTGTGCTATTTTCCCGGGATGCATATTTAGTTTAATCTCTATGCGAGAGGTTCCCATTGAGACGACCTATGATTGAACAAGTACTTAAAGGACTGAAATGTACTTAATTGAAAAGTCATCAGGCTGCCATAGTGCAAATGCTACAAACCGATTTCGGAACGAGAGAGGTACTGATGGACTTGTCTCGCCTTGATGTATTTTTGGCGGCGGATCTAAGGACTGAGTTCCTAGTGCTGGTCATCATTATTAGATAGGAAAGGAATCAATAAGTTTCCCGCCATATATTTTACGACATTTTTTATTCTCTCTCTTTCCCCCTCCCTCCCTTTCCTCCCTTTCCTCCCTCCCCTCCCTCTCTCTCTCTCTCTCTCTCTCTCCTCCACGCACCTTGGAAACAGTCAGCAGTAAGTGAGATTGCTGATTGCTGGAGATTAACCTTAAAAAGAATTACTCTTAGAACATGTCAGATTTTGCCTTCACTAGATAAATAAAAAAACACTCTCCTTGATATTATGCTCCATCGCAAGGACGGTCATCGACATGAAATTTAGAAACGGCTGTCTCTGGAAAGTGTAAAATTGGTGTAGTTTGATAAGAAGTAAGGCAGGAAACACTCCGCCTGTGAATCTTCTTTGAGATTGTATACATACGGTGCGCAGTGCATGAGGAAGAACTGTTGTCTAAGAAACATTTCTCAGGAATGACGCAGTCAGGTTTTGAATACCTCATGCATATCAACGGCATCTACAGTAGCACTGAGTGAATCTATCTGCAGATGATTTATGTCTGTGCTGATGACTTTTACTCCCGTACTCTTGTTCCCTTGCTTTGGGACGTGATCTAACACGATTCTCACTCCATTTCATGTGTAACGGTTTGAGTTTTCTTCATTGTCATAGGACCAGCTGCGTAGAATGGGAAAGAACGGGGTCAAGAGTTGCAGATTGCGCGCGAGAGACTTGGGTGAAAGCTTTTCCATGTTTTGCGTAGTCCCATCCTCCTCCTCCTTGAGAGAGGGCGAGGGTGCATGTGAAAACGCTTGTGCGTTGCTATTATCCACTGACCACCTGCTTATGTCATCATGTTGCGTGAGCACCCCAAGGGCACGAAGGGCCCCAATTTACCTTGGCTATCACCGCGCCTGCGATTCTAAAAAAAAATGTTAACATTTCATGACAGTTATTTAAACAATGTTCTCCATAACCGACGATGACAACCGTTGAAATTGAGTCCTGCGCGCACGACTTCTCTTAGGGTCAGGTCTTGGGCGTGAGTTCTGGTTGATCAGATTTGAACTTCTCCTTCCGTGGCATGTAACAGGCGTGGGGTGTAATCTCACTGATTGCGGTGTTCGTTATCAAGATGTTTCTCTAGAGTATTCTTTGTTCCCAAGGTGACACTGAAAAATGTCAGAGGGACATGACTTGCCGTTTCATATCTTAGAGTGAAGATCTTCTGCATCTTGCGCTTGTTTTGAGCGCAACAGGTGTGTTGGTTCCTGGAAAGTGAATCTGATCTGGCTGCCTTCCTTTCAAGAATAATTAAATCTTGGACGACCAGGTATTCCCTTTGCATCGGTTTCCGGTAGGAGGACTGCGGATGACCACAGATTTGTCATCGCAGCTGGACTCTGTCAGGGGGAGAAGGTTGTGGTTGGTTCTCTAGGCAAGTGGTGCGTGTGTGTGGATATGTGTGTGTGTGCGTAGTGACGTAGCCCAGGGTTAGATCCATCTTCCCTCCTCCCTCATCTCACGCCTTGCATCACAAGTGAGCGCTGGTCTAGCGTGGGCACGTTCTCTCCTACCTGGATGCTTGGAGCCTAGGGGGATCCACGTTTTCTCTCAGACACACACCAGGCGTGGCTCATGTGGCACGCATTCTCTTGAAACTCTTCTTGTGATCAATGACACCGTGTTCCGCTTACATGCTCGCCTTCACTCTCAACTATTGTTCGCCGTTTCCTAGGTGGCGCTTATCTGAACGGGGATTTATGCCCCCTCCCTTATGAGTAAGCTGGTCTTCTCCCTGTTCTCTCATCTTCTCTCCAGATGCTGGTTCGGTGTTATTGAGGTTGCATCTTGTGTTGAAATTTGTGTCGTGGTGAATTTTCTCTCACTTCTGAGACAATGGAAGAGAAGCAGGTTCTTCGGAAACTGGAAGAAATGTTCCGGGATATCCGGCTAGAGAAGCAAGAAGAGCACATGCGAAAAGTCCACGGTCATGGACCCAGTATCAGTCATAAATTAGACCGGTCTGAATGTGACATCCATGGACGTCGGGACTCGACGAGTAGTCAGCGGAGTTCCCTGAGTCCTTTGGGAGGTCATCGACCCCTGAGGCCAGTAGTAGTCTCTCTAAGGAACCTAGACAATAGTGGGTATGCGGCTCTGAGGTACCCTGACCCTAATAGGGTATTCTGCTGCCCTACCTAATAAGCGGCACTAAGCCGGTCGGGCTCACGGGATTCCGTCGCCTCCACGGGATCCCGCAAGTTTTCCATCGATTCCCTCGAAGGCCGCCGGGATTCATTGGACATGGATAAGAGAAATCCTTTGAGCGGCGGAGCCGTCCTAGACGACGGGACCATCCTCGAGGAAGAAGAGGTAGGCCCACACGATTCAAAGGTATCTTGCCGCGTTTCCTTTGCTCCATTCCTCAATCACAAGGCCTGTGAATGTCGATTGAGGAGTTCTCAGCCACTGCTTCGCAACTAACTTCCAACCAAAGCTCTCAAACGGATTACACATCAGTCGTAAAATCAGCGAATTTCACTGACGGCTGTCAGAAAGCTGAAGAGACAGATTCATTCCGAGTAGGCTGTAAGGCTTTTTTTAATGCTTTCTTTTTTATTCAATAAGTTACCTTGTGTTGGCTTTTGTCTGCACGCCCCGCCACATTCCGCTCCTAATTTTACTGTGACTCTCGTGGAGCTTTCTCCTGATTCCCTCCCGTACAACGAGTTAAGTAGCCAACGCCACTGATTACTCTTCCGAAAAACTGCTGGGAGTGAACAGGTGATCTGGTAACTTCTACCTCGTTCACCGACGGTAATCGAGTCATGTTGACGAGCTCCACTGGGTGCAACTATGGAGGGGTAATGGCAAGTCATCGCCCTGTACTGATGACGATACCAGTCTTTTGTAGATTTCAGCTACTTTCATCTTTCGTGTATTCCGTGTCCGTGCATTTCAACATCTGTACAAAAAACTGACGTCTGCTAGTTTTGAGAAAACAATTCCTGTGATAACTATGACAATGCCTTGGGATTTATGAGATACTGAAGAAAGATGGTCAAGTTCTGGGGTAGGAACGCAAGCGGAAAAAGAGTGAGGGAAAAATGGAAATGGAACCGTGAGATGGAACACAGAAGGAAGACGCCCTATCAGCGTGACAAAGCGTGGGACTTTCCCTCCACGAAGTCAGGGGTGTGTAGGTACTGTACAACATGGGCGGTCACCGTACTGAACCTTCTCTTATTCGAGATTTCAGCAGTTCCTCTCTCATATCCATCGACAGCACATCAGTCCATTTGCCGCATGGACGTAGGAAATACAAACGGCAATATAAAAAAGATTCCGACTCTTTATGGAGAGTGTTTCAGGGAGTGTGATAGTATCACTAGCGCCTTGATGTAAAGTTTCAGGATCATTTCCATACGTTTCAGTTTGATATTTCCCTCAATCTCATGAGAGGTCGTTAAAACCGCTGACACGCCACGCTGAAACAGTCGACATGTGGTTTTAAATAGGGCAGAAATGTCCGGATTTAATGATATGAGGTTCAATAAACCTCATCACCATATTTTGATGCAGGTTTAAGTGTTTGAAAACGGCATGCACAGATATTCGTGTGGTCAATATAATTGATGTGGTTAACACATGGCGAACGCAGTCATGACTTGGGCATATACGGAACGAAGTTTGCATGGCATAGTAGTTTGCTTGGTAATCCTATCCAAACGTTTTAAGTTAAATTTCAGGCATTACATTGGTCATTTTCAGAACCCTGCCATAATAATTTAGCTACCCCCATAAATGAATGTATCTAACCAATTTTTTTTATTATTAAGGCGACTAAGGCGAATTTTTTTTGGGTAGTCTAAAGCCCTGATATGGATCCGGTCGACCACCTGTGGGAGCAACTGGAACCTCAGCTGAGAGTAACCCGTTCAATTTCCACCAATATCATGGAATTAAAGGAAACTGTCGCACGAATATGGGGGAACCTCGTTCAGACCGTGATTCAAAATCTCATTGATTCGATACCAAATATGATAATTGCTCTCCGTGCTGCAAAATATGGCTCTACCAAGTACAAAAATAAAGATTGCTTGTCTTTATTTGACTTTTCCCGCGCCACACTAACATATTGTAATAACAACTGGTGGCCAAGTTATTATGGCAGGGCTCTGTGTAATAATCCCAAGATCCGTATGTGGTTTACCTTTCTGAAATGGTTGAAAGAACTAATAATAAGTCACGAAATACAACCTAACAGTTTCTATGTTGTTCGAGCCCATGGAAAGGACATTTGAAATGGAAAGGTAATGAAGCAGCGGATGCATTGTGATACAAGCATTTCTTTGGCGTCAAAACCTGAATTTGTATGTTTTTCCCCATTCCGGCTCATTAGGAAACATCTGTCTATAAGCACACCAGTTATATTAACTACACCAATTGTGTACCGCTTGCGTCAGTACTGAACCCGTATATGCCTTGCTTCAAACGTACCGTATCATCAAACGAACCATTAGGATAGGTTTGCAAAATTTTTAAATTTCAGGCATTACATTGGTCATTTTCAGAACCCTGCCATAATAATTTAGCTACCCCCATAAATGAATGTATCTAACCAATTTTTTATTATTATTAAGGCGACTAAGGCGAATTTTTTTTTTGAGTAGTCTAAAGCCCTGATATGGATCCGGTCGAGCACATGTGGGAGCAACTGGAACCTCAGCTGAGAGTAACCCGTTCAATTTCCACCAATATCATGGAATTAAAGGAAACTCTCTCACGAATATGGGGGAACCTCGTTCAGACCGTGATTCAAAATCTCATTGATTCGATACCAAATATGATAAATGCTCTTCGTGCTGCAAAATGTGGCTCTACCAAGTACAAAAATAAAGATTGCTTGTCTTTATTTGACTTTTCCCGCGCCACACTAACATATTGTAATAACTGGTGGCCAAGTTATTATGGCAGGGCTCTGTGTAATAATCCCAAGATCCGTATGTAGTTTGCCTTTCTGAAATGGTTGAAAGAACTAATAATAAGTCACGAAATACAACTTAACAGTTTCTATGTTGTTCGAGTCCATGGAAAGGACATTTGAAATGGAAAGGTAATGAAGCAGCGGATGCATTGTGATACAAGCATTTCTTTGGCGTCAAAACCTGAATTTGTATGTTTTTCCCCATTCCGGCTCATTAGGAAACATCTGACAGAAAACAAGACGAAAGGGACTTAAAAGGTCGACCTAATGAGTCGAGAAAGATGCTTGTCTCTGGAAAAAAAAATCCTGCTCTCACGGTTCCAGTGCCTCCGCGATTTTGACGAGTTCCCCCGTAAGGTCGTGGATGCAGCTAATCGTCCCCACACCGGCATAGAACACGAGATTCCTTAGAATGCAAATCGATCCATGATTCAAGGCCGTTTTTAAGGACCTCATTCGTCATGCCACTCATGTCTCCTGTCCTGTTGCGGATGTTGAAGTGGAAATTCGTGTGGAAACCTCCACTAGTTTTTTGGTTCTTTTCTTACGTCGCATCTTTAACTTCCTACACAGCCATATCCTTAGGAGGAGAGAAAGAGAAAGAAAGAAAAAATGTGCCTGTGGCCCTCGAGTTCAATGCATCCGTCGTGATCCGACATTCCTTTCTCAAGCAAGGGGGTGAATCACCAACTGCGACCGCTGAGAACGAAGCCGGCCACACTGTTGGATTAACTTTTCTTCCTTCAGTCCTGGCGGGGGGCGCGCGAGTCATTTCCATATTGATTCGGGTCAACTTCATTCCCCGAGCACGCCCACGGTGGACTTGAGAGACGACACTGGGTCTGTGAGTGAAGGCGTACGACGGAAAGGATTGACTTCAGACTCACGAAAAGCATGTCCCTTCGTCGAGACGCCAGGAAAGACGGGGGTTGTCCGTCTCTGCTCCCCTGACAGACATGCATTCCATCATCACTTTAATGAGGGATGGAGGAGCACTTGGTGTTCGGTGACCATTAGCATAATCATAACACTCCGGATATGGGTTCGTGACTGGCATCGGTGGGGTGTCTTCGGAACGCGGCCTCGGAGTCTGATTCATTCAGGTCGGCCATTTAATGCCGCCTGTGTGTGCCGAACATGCACTTATTGCATGCCATTATAATGTAAAAACCATCCGTTGTGCGAGTTGTCTGTTGTTCCTGCTCGAGGTCATGGGGTTTTGACATGGAAAAAGAGAAAAGAACGCGTTACTCCGACGATAAAAGTTTTAGACGCTTCAGAGGAGAAAGCGTATTAAGGGATGCAAAATCAGCTGGTGCTGCACGTCAAAGTAAAAAATAGGTTTTGAATACGTTCTAGCAGGATATGTAAATATACGGAGAGACCAAACCATTGAGTTTGGTCTCTTAATTATCGTTCCCAAGCTCGCAGTTGTGCAATAGGAAGAGTGTGGCACTGAAAACTGCCACTGCACCTCCTGATAATTTTATTTTGCTCAGAATTTCATTCACTACATTATGTTCCTCTCCTCTCACAAGGAAAAATAACCTGAGGTAGAAAGTTTTGTGTTTTATCAGATAAATCTGCTCAAAATTTCAGCCACCTCTGGGAACAGGGAGCAGACGTCGTGAATGAAACTACAAGAAGAGTTTGTGCTACCGAGTAACATCAACGCAAAGGATAGCACGTGTGAACTTTGAGTCGTGGGGCTTCACACTTACCACGACGAAACACTGACTCCTTGGCTGGAGTTAATCTGAGCCGGATATTGACGAGATGCGCATGCGCACTTCTGATACTTTTACATTATTGGTGTCACTAACCCTCTGAAATAGCACAGGCTTAAGAGCACCAGTCACCGAACTGTGGGCCAGCATGAGGACCGTGCAATTGCTCTCTCTCTCTCTCTCCTCATTTGGCGTATGCGGAATGGATCTTTGACTCGTATGAAACATGTAGTATGGTCCCTGGTAGACCTAGACCTGCTACTGAAGTTCTAGTTTCTTCTTCAGACGTAGAAACAAGGACTTACAGACAGCCAGTATCAGGATTCACCTCTTCTATTCTCCATAATCACAACATCTCATGAAATTATGTATGTATCGGGAAATTAATGCAAATAGCTTTTGGAACTTTATTAGCTCGTCATTCTTGAGAGGAGGGGTGAAGATGGTTTGGGCTGCAATAGGTGTGCACCCTTTGCTTTAACTCAGAAGCTTGTATTTAAAGGCAGCACTGCCGCAAACGCGAGGCGTAAACATTACCCCCAACTCTGACTTCGAACTCACCCAGAGTGATTTCGATATGTAAAGCTGTCGAAGGCATTCAAAGGAGACAGTTGATGGGATAACTGGGAGTCCAACTGCCTGATCCTTGATGGAAAGCGATGAAAGTCCTAGATTGGAAGCGATGAAAGTTCGCCAGTATGAAGACTTTAAGCCATCTGTTTGTGGGGAGAAAGCTGATCGTTACACGGGAGGACCGGGCAAGCGCTGCG